AGGATGGATGTTTTGGCCCTAAATCTTAGGATGGATGTTTTGGCCCTGGAGGGAGTTCAACACAGCGTTTACAAGGATATTACCTAGGCTTCAGATATTAAGTTTATTCTCCAGAATTTAGAAGGTTAAGGGGTGATCTAATTGAGGTTTTCAGAATATTAATAGGGAAAGACAGGGTAGATAAAGATGAACTATTTCCACTGGTTGAAGATTCTAGGACCAGGGTTCACAGTCTAAGAATTAATGCCAGTTCATTTAGGAGAGATGTTAGAAAGCACTCCTACACTTCAACAAAGAAGTGGCAGAGAAACTGAATAGGTATTTTTCCAATAGTTTTCACAATGGAAGACACCAACAACATATGAGAACTTCAAGTGTCAGGGGAGTCAGAGGTGAATGTAGAGGTCATCACAAAGGAGAAGGTGCTGGGGATGCTGAAAGGTCCGAAGGTGGATAAATAGACCACCAGATAGATTATACCCCAGAGTTCTGACGGAGGTAGCTAAGGTGATTTTAGTGGCATTAGCGATGATCTTTCAGGAATCAGTAGAGTCAGGGAGGCTCCAGAGGAGTAGAAAATGGCTAATGTAACACCCCTGTTTAAGAAGGGAGAGAGGCAGAGGGCAGGAAACTATAGGCTGGTTAGCCTGACCTTGGATAGATTTCAGAATCCATTATTAAGGATGAGATTATGGAGTACTTGGAAGTGCATAGTAAAATAGGGCTGAATCAGCACAGCTTCATCAAGGGGAGGTTATACTTAACAAATCTATTAGAATTCTTTGAGGAGGTAACAAGCAAGCTGGACAAAGAAGAGCCAGTGGATGTTATCTATCTGGATTTCCACAAGGCCTTTCATAAGGTGCCACACAGGGGGTTCTAAGTAAGAGCCCATGGTGTTAGAGGCAAGGTACTGGCATGGATAGGAGATTGGCTGACTGGCAGAGAGTAGTGATAAAGGGGTCTTTTTCTGATGGTGACTAGTAGAGTTCTGTAGGGGTCGACGTTGAGATCACAACTATTCACATTGTACATTAATAATTTGGATGAAGGAACTGACAGCATTGTTGCAAATTTTGCAGATGACACAAAGATAGGTGGAGGGGCAGGTAGTGTTGAGGAAGTGGGAGGCTGCAGAAGAACTTGGACAGAGTAGGAGGGTGGGCTAAGAAGTGACAGATGGAATGCAATGTAGGTAAGTGAGAGGGTATACACTCTGATAGGAAGAATACAGACACAGAGGTAGTAGGAACTGCAGATGCTGGAGAATCCGAGACAACAAGGTGCAGGGCTGGATGAACACAGCAGGCCAAGCAGCATCATAGGAGCAGAGAGGCTGACGTTTCGGGCCTAGACCCTTCACAGACACAGACTACTTTCTAATTAGGAAAAGGCTTCGGAAATCGGAACCAAAAAGGGACTTATTTGCCTTCATAACTAATAACTGAATATGATTCAGAAACTGAATTAGATTAAGTAAGTAGTTAGGAAGGCAAATGCAATATTAGCATTTATTTCAAAAGAGCTAGAATGCAAGAACAGAGATGTACTCCTGGGGCTGTGTAAAATTCTGATCACACTGCATTGGAAACATTGAGAGTGGTTTTAGGCCCCTTACCTAAGAAAGGATGTGCTGGTGTTGGAGGCGGGGTGGGGGAGGTGGTCAGAGGAAGTTGATAAGAATGATCCCAGGGATGATGGGCCTGTTATATGAGGAGTTGTTGAGGAATCTTGGTTTGTATTCAATAGAGTTTAGAAGGATGACGTGGGGGGACTCTGATTGAAACTTACCGGAGGTAAGGAGAAATCTCTTAAGCCATAGGGTAGTGAATCTGGAACTCATTGCTGCACAGGCCTGTGGAAGCAAAGTCATTGAGTGCATTTGGAACTGAAATAGATAGGTTCTTGACTGGTAAGGGATAAAGGGTTATGGGGAGAAGGCAGGAAAATGGGTTTGAGAAACATATCATTAATGATCAAATAGTGGAGCAGACTCGATGGGCTAACTGGAGTAATTCTGCTCCTATACCTTATGGTCTACATACGAAGAATAGTGGAGGTTTGGAACTCTATTCCTCAAATGGTGATCAATGCCAATGCCAATTCAATTGTTAATTTTAAATCTGAGATAGACAAAATTTTATTATGCAAGGGTATGAAGGGATATGGGGCATGGCAGGCAAATGGTGTTTGGCCTCAGATCAGCCATGAACTTATTGAAATGTGAAGCAGGCTTGAGAGCTTGAATGGCCTCTCCTGTTCCCAGGATAAGGCTCAACATAGAGTCATATCTAACATAAGAGGCCCTTTGATCCACACTGCTTGGCCCATAGCCTTGAATGTAATCACATTTCATCTATGTACTTTTTAAAGGTTGTGAAGTTTGCCACTCAACTACCCTCCCAGGCAATGTATTCCAGATTTCCACCACCATGGGTAGAAAAGATTTTCACAAATCTCTAAACCTCCTGCCATCACCTTAAAATTATGCCCCTCTCATTTTTGACCCTTCAGCTAAGGGGAACAGATGCTTCCTATCCACCCTGTTCATTCCCCTCATGATCTCATACACTTCAAACAAGTCCTCTTCAACCCTCTCTGCCTCTAAAGAAAACAACCCAAGCCTATCCAGACTTTCTTCATAGCTAGAATGCTCCAACGCAGGCAACCATCAGGTGAATCTCTTCCATACCCCTTCCAGCGCAATCACATCTTTCCTATAGTGCAGTGACTAGAAATGCACATAGTACTCCATCTGTGGCCTAACCAAACTTTTGTACAGGTCCAACATAACCTCCTTGCTCTTACTATCTGTGCCACGATTGTTGAAGGCAAGTGTCCCGTACACCTCTGTAACTACGCTATTAATTTGTCCTGCTGCCTCAGGGATCTGTGGACAAGCACTGCAAGATCGCTCTGTTCCTCTGAGCTTCCTAGTGTCCTTCACTTATTGAGTACTCCCTTCTCTTGTTCCTTCTTCCCAAGTGCATCATCTCACACTTTTCAGGGTTAAATTCCATCTGCCAATGATCTGCCCATCTGACCAATCCATCTATATCTTCCTGTAACCTAAGATATTCTTCCTCATATTTAAATGTCTATCAATCTTCGTGTCATCTGGATGAACCAAATCAGGGATTTTAGTGGAGGGAAAGCTTGTTCGCTTGGCTGCACCTGCTTTCCCTCCAAAATATCTATCAGTGCAGAGTAGAATCAGTTTCTGTTAGGTGAAAGCTTAAGCCACTTTTCCCTAGGTTACACAATTCAAGTTTTATATTTACTGCGCAGGTTTCCAAGGGGTCAGGATGTCAACAGTGAAAGGAAGACCAGAGGTTTGTGGCTCTGTGAAGTAAACAGCATAAATAACTCCCTTGTAACATAGCTTATGTGCCAAGAAGAGCAGGTATCCTAAGCACTGACTCTCAGTGTAGCATCCAATCTTCCGTTTGCCGATCACTGACTTTTCTCTCCCCACTCATCACCCTTTAGATAGATTTGCTGACTGACTCCAACTCCAGCTCTGGTCACTATCTCAATGCTGTGGTCAAAGCCAGTCTTCACTCTCACTTTCATTACTACTGGGCATTCCCTGCTGCAGCCTCCTGCCAAACTTCTTAGCTGCCTTTCTGCACTCTTCTCATAAATAACTGGACCAGTGATCAGTGAAGGAGAGCAGGTAAAAGATGAAAGACATGGAATGTAGAGATAAACTAAAGCTAACTTTAGACATGGAAGGAGGAATTATTTCAGATGACATATTGTGTACATTGCAAGAAATGGAGCAGTAGAAGAAGCAGTGCTATAGAAATGAACTACAGGGTAGAGATAATTGAAGAGATTGGAGTACTTAATAGTATCAAAGGCAGCAGAGATGTCAAGGAAGCACTTTTACATAAGATGTCATTGTAATTTTTATCAACGGGGTTTCAGCATGATGGAAAGCTGACTAGATGGTTTCACAGGAATGCATTTGCAAGACCTGTGCTCCAGAACCTTATGAAGAACAGTGGAAAGGAAGCAATAGATGGTAAGTAAGAGAAATTGAAGTAGATTTTCAGAGGAGAGGAGTGAATATAGAGATTTATTAGAGATACAGGACCCAAATCAGAGAAAGAGAGATAGGTTGATAAAAATGATGGTAAAAATTAGGAAGGTTTTATCATCATGAGTTGACCTCGGGTTGCTGGGAACTGAAGGTGCAGGTGCTGATCATAATTCAGAGCTGAAGAAGAGACTGTTGCAGATGGTAAGAGGTATGTGCTCATAGAGGGGTCTATAAAAAGTGGGTAGGGTTCGTGGGTAGGGACAGTGGAGCAGGGACATCAGAATAAGTGTTTTTGATTTGGGACACAAAAACATGTATGACCTGTCTGAACTGAGAATAAATGGCTATTGTGGATGCGGTCAGAAATGATAATTTTTGTTTGGAAATAGGACTTTGGAGATGATTTTAATATCTGGGATGATCTTAGATTAGTTAGGAGACTTTCACATGGAAAGACACAGCAGAACTTGAGGTGATAAAGCCAAAAATTCTGAAACGAACAGTGGTAAAATGGACATCCTCATCACTAAACTCCAGTTACTCCAGATATTGGTTGAGAATATTTTCAATAAGATTTTTCATTTTGTTCAGTTTTAAAATTTTTAAACACCGGTATCTAGTGAAACTGATGTTCCATTTTCAAACAACACAGTTCACGTAGGTTTCCATTTACCTTGTTCTGTGTGTTAAGAGTGAAAATGCTGTCTTTTCTTTCCAGGAGTTTACATGCATAGGCAATATTAACAGCAGTTTCTTGTTTGTCTCCTGTTAAGACCCAAATCTTTATCTTTGCCTTTCGAAGTGCCACAATAGTGTCTGGGACACCTTCCTGTAAACGATCTACAATACCCGTAGCACCTAAACATAGAATTAGAAATTACAATATATGTTATTTCCAAATGCAAAATCACAGAGATTGATTCAAACTATTAGTCACGATTGTTTATTAAATTTCTTTTTCTGATGTATCTAAAATTATGAAAGTATAAAGTCAGAGCTTAATTGAAACACATGAAAACGATGCTGACATTCAATTCCTATTCAGCTTTTAGTTGTCACCTCCAAAGCTGACGGCTTTAAGATTCAGACCCATGGAAAACTGCTTCTGTTGCCTTAATGTGATTGGTTTTAAGTGTATGGAAACCAGGTGAGATGGGATCACATTGGTTCATAATCTCATGGAATGCAATATATTACAAGTCTTACCTTGGCATGCACCACCATTCTAAACTTTATTACCTGCTGCCAACTTTACACATCTATGAAGGGAATCGCATGCATATAAAACCGTAAAGAAATGATGGCATTAGTGGTAATGTTGCTGGACTAGTAATTCAAAGGACTAGGCTAGTGCTCTGGGTACATAGGTTCAAAATTCCATGACAGCAGCATGTGGAATTTAAATTTCATTCATACAAAAATCTGGAATTCAAAGCTAGTCATTGGTAATATTCCTGCCAAACCTATGTGGTCTACATGTAATGTGGTGGACCGTTAACAGCACCTAGAAGTGGCCTTGCAAGCTCAGGTCAATGGAAGACCTTGCCAATGATGAACAAGTAAAAGAACTTTTTTTTAAACACGGTGGCATTGTCATGTCACAGTTTGAAGCCTTTCAAACTCCCTAAAAGACAGGTTTTCAAACAGGCAGTGCATGAACCATTCACAGACAACTTTTCTCAACCTGAGTTTTTTTTTAAACCAAAACTTAGTCTGTGGAAATTTTATAATATGAGACAGAGGAATAAGGTGTGCTGAGGGAGGCTTCAGAACCAAAAAGGATCAGAACTGCAACCTTGGCCATTATTATTTCAACCAATTCTACCTTCGAAATGATAAGTTTTGTTACTTACCTGTGAAATATAACCTAAAATCAAAGCATTGTACAAATATAAATTTTATGACTTTAAAATAGAATGCAGCAAGGTCCATTGATCTAATAATCTCCCGTTTTCTAATCTTGTGTCACCTGAGATTACACATGATCTTGATTCCCTTTGAGAGGTTTTCTGCAACTGTGCTTATTAACTTACTTTTCTATTAATTAAAGAGAATGTCCAAAATGTCAGACTGGCATGAACAATGGGAAAAGCCCTAGTCCTTTTGCAATGGCACAAATGACGACTTAATTCTTCCTAAAAATAATTGAGAAAAGTATGTATTTTCCAGCAGATGCAAAAATAAGTCCAGGTTCATCATTTAGAAAAAAAAAATCAAACACTACATTCTCGACAATCCATATATATTTGAATAAAGATATAAACAATCATTTCAACCTGCATAAAAACTGCTTCAACAGGCTGGAATCTTACTGGCTTTGAAGATTTTGAGAATTTATGGTCAAAAATGGACATTGACCCTGTTGATACTTTCTGACGTCAGGAAGGTACCCATCTGCAATTTACGTACAAGTGGGCACCTAAATATTCAAATTGTCTACCCGCCATTGCTAGTGATGGCCTATTTATGTCAAGACTGTCTCTGGTTCAACATTCACATTTCAAAATTTTGCTCCTGATTCTACCTTCAAGTCCAATTCCTGGGAACCAGGAAGATTCCAACAATAGAATTAATCACCACCTGCTGAACAAGTTAAGCAACCAGGTAAAAAATCAGAACAATTTTGAAAATTTCCTTAACACCATACTAAAATAAATATGCTAAGCTAAGCAGCTATAACAATATACAACATTCCATTATTTTATTCTTGCGATTATTTACCAAGCAGTGTTAGGTTAGTTTCCAGCTTAAGAGCTGATTCGAATAGTAGCTCCTCCTGGTTATCAATACTTGTCTCTGCTAAGAGATGAAATTGTACCCACTCTGCGTATTCAGAATCATTCATCACCTGCAGAAAAGAAAACATGATGCTTAGAATGAGGCATCTCGAGCCCAACAATGTCTAAATATGAACACTAACACTACAAAATCCATACAAAAATAACCTATCGTCACAAGAGAATTTGATAATTTGTTAGTACTTTCTGTTTATATATTTATATTGACACAGCATGATAATATGTATTTAATTTATTCCAAGGTGAATGAATACTGGGTGTTCTTTCACATTTCACAAAATGCAATATCATCATCTTTGGAAACACAGAATTATCAGTTTTAACAGAAAATGAAGCTATGTATTTCTGAACAGCTGAAAAGACGTCATTTCAATCTCTTGACCAAACAGCAGCAAGAGTTGCCAAATTAAGATATCACTAAACAACTGGGAATGTAGTCAATCAAGCAGATTACATTCTATCTCCAAGGTAACTCATTAGTTTCTGACTGTGAATGGTAATAAGAGTACTCAAAGATATTAGAATCCAGCTTTTGAGTGTTTTCTTTCAAGTTGCTCTTCCGTACCAAAACTGCTTTAGCTGATGGCCCAGCTGCACTGCTGAATACTAACTGTCTTCACTCGGAAAGATGATGAAAACATCACAGTTAGGAAGAGGTAGAAGTTATATTGGATAGGATAGAAATAGAAATTAGAAGTTGGGAAGATCTCAAAACAGGGGGAAAAGAAACCACTGGTCTGGATCCTAGACCACTGAAGGGAAATAAGAGATGAAAATACACAGTTGGCGGCCTCAAGCTCCAAACCCTTCTTTGATCTTTAGCGTCAGTGAACGAGGATTACAAATATTACAGACATGTTCAAAAAACGGAGAGGAAAGGCCAGTCAGTCTAAAGTTAGTTTAGGGAAACTTTTGAGACAATAATGTGGGATGAAATTAATTGCCACTTAAAATCATTAAAAGGTAAAGTCATCATAGTCCTATCGGACCATAGGGCTGCTCTGTCATTACAGACGGATGACTGGGGGTGACGGTTTAACCTAAGGGTCACCATACCTCAGGAGAGGGCACAGGTTGAGAAGGAGAGGCGTTCACAATAACCTCAACCAGTATGGGAATTGAACCTGTGCTGTTGGCATTACTTTGCACCGCAAGCCAGACATCTAACCAATCGAGCTAACGAATCTCTAACTTAAAATCAGTACCGATCTGTTAAGGGAAAACTGTATTTCACTTCATTGTATTCTTTGATAAAATAACAAAAGGTTTTGCAATTGATACTGTGTTTTTAAACTTTCAAAAGACATTTTCTAAAGTACTCCATAAAAGACTCGTCAGCAAAACTGAAGCTGGTGGGAACCGAGAGACTGCAACAATACGGATGTAAAATCAATTAAATAGTAGAATTAAGTACTGCTGAGCTATTATTTTTCCATAATGGAGGGATGTATAAAGTGATGATGCCCAAGTTTAATACAGACAACTGTGAAATGATATATTTTGGTTGCAATACTGAGAAGAGGCAATATAGAGTACAATTCTAAATGGAGTGTGGAAGCAAACAGACATCAGTGTACATTTACGCAATTGTTGAAGGTGGAAAAGCAGATGGAGAAAGTGGGCAAAAGTAAAAGCATTCAGGAATCTGAGCCTTATGAACAACTCAGAATTCATAGAATCCCTACACTGTGGAAACAGGTCATTAAGCTGTGAGATATTGTACGATAATTCTCTTTACTAACTGACTGACAAGCGTGCTATGTTTATTATACTGTGTTCCATTCACTCATTCATAAAACCACGTTTTTGGAGTACATTTTTACTCTTACAAGGTAAACTAATTAAACATCGTTTCTAACCCATTACTGTTTCTTTACACCTTTCTATTCTTATTGACTCCATGCTGCATGCAGTGTTCAAACTTATTTCTGTATCAAAGGCTACCCCTGAATAAGTGTTAATGCCGTAACCTACTCAGAACATTGCCATTGCCACCATAGTGTCTCCATAACCCACTCAAAACTATGGAAAGAATATAATATTAATTCGCCTTTAGCAACCGTCTCTTGGAACCAGAATAGGTTGCAGAGCATCAAACAGTTTCCTCCACTAGTATACAATGTGGAGCTGGAGGAACACAGCAGGCCAGGCACCTCAGAGGAGTAGGAAAGTTGCCATTTCGGGTCGGGACCCCTCTTCAGAAATGGGGGAGGGGGAAGGGAGCTCAGAAATAAATACAGAGAGGAGGGGTGGGGCTGGGGAAGATAGGTGGGATGGTGATAAGTAGTGTAGGTAAGCAGTGGTGGGGATTGGTCAGTGAGGTGGGAGGATCAGATAGTTGGGAGAAAAGATGGGCAGGTTGTATCAAGTCAAGGAGGTGGGGATGAGAGGGAGGGATGGTCTTGGGATGAGGCTGGGGGTGGGGAGATTTTGAAAATGGTAAAGGCCACATTTAGGCCATTGGGCTGTAGGCTCCCAAGGCGGAACAGGAGGTGCTGCTTCTCCAGTTTCTGGGTGGCTTCATTGTGACACCGGAGGCGGCCCAGGATGGACATGTCACCCAGGGAGTGGGAGGGGGAGTTGAAATGGTTCATAACCGGAAGGTGTTGTCGTTTGTCACGAACAGAGTGCAGGTGCTCTACAAAGCGATCCCCGAGCCTCCATTTGGTCTCACCGATGTAGAAGAGGCCACATTGGGTGCAGCGGATGCAAGAGACCACATTGATGGATGTGCAGGTGAACCTCTGTCTGCTGTGAAAGGTTTGCTTGGGGCCTTGAATGGAGGGTGAGGGTGGAGGTGTAGGGGCAGGAGTAGTACTTCCTGTGGTTGCAGGAAAAGGTGCCAGGGGTGGTAGGGCTAGTGGGGAGTGTGGAGCGGATGAGGGAGTCTCGAAGAAAGCGGTCCCTACGAAAAGCAGATAGGGATGGGTATGGAAATATATATTTGGTTGTGGGGTCGGATTACATGTGGTGGAAGTGGCAGAGAATAATACGTTGGATATGGAGGTTAGTGGGATGATATGTGAGGACAAGGGGGATTCTGTGTTTATTTTTGTTGGTGGGGAGGGGATGTAAGGGCAGAGGTGTGGGAAACGCAAGAGATGCGGTCTAAAGCATTTTCGACCACCGAAGTAGGGATGTTGTGCTCCTTGAAATCAGAGGACATCTGGGATGTTCGGGAGTGGAACGCCTCATCTTGGGAGCAGACGCAGCAAAGGCGGAGGAATTGGGAGTAAGGGATCGCATTCTTGCAGGAAGGTGGGTGAGAAGAGTTGTAGTCTAGGTAGCTGTGGGAGTTGGTGGGCTTGCAATAGATGTCTGTTTCGAGGCAGTCACCAGAGATGGAGACACAGAAGTCCAGGAAGGAGAGAGAGGTATCAGAGATGGTCCAGGTGAACTTGAGGTTGGGGTGAAAGACGTTAGTAAAGTTGATGAACTGTTCAAGCTCCTTGTGGGAGCATGAGGCAGCACCAATACAGTCATCGATGTAGCGGAGGAAGAGGTGGGGCATAGTGCTAGTGTAGCTGTGGAAGAATTGTTCCATGTATGCTACAAAGAGGCGAGCATAGCTTGGGCCCATGCGGGTTCCCATGGCTGCCCCCTTAGTCTGTAGGAAGTGGGAGGAGTTGAAGCAGAAGTTCAGTTAAGCGGATGAGGGTGTCGGTGGAGGGGGACTGGTTAGGCCTGGGGGAGAGGAAAAAGGGGAGGGCTTTCAGGCCATCCACGTGGGGAATGCAAGTGTACAGGGATTGGATGTCCACTATGAAGATGAGGTGTTGGGAGCCAGGGAATTGGAAGTCTTGGAGGAAATAGAGGATATGGGTGGTGTCCCAGACGTAGGTGGGGAGTTCCTGGACCGGGGGAGAAAACAGAGTCAAGGTAAGCAGAGATCATGCTTGTGGATTTTGGGATGGAGATAGAAACGGGAGGTGCGGGGTTGGGGAACGATGAGGTTGGAGGCTCTGGGTGGGAGGTCACCCAAGGTGTTGAGGTTGTGAATGGTTTAAGAGATGATTGTTTGGTGCTCAGGGGTGGGGTTATGATCGAGAGGGCGGAAGGAGGTGGTGTCAGAGAGTTGGTACCTGACCTCAGATATGTAAAGGACCTCCTACTTTCTTACTCTTCTGTTGCTGTCTGGCCTGCTGTGTGCCTCCATCTTCGCTTTGTGTTATCTCTGACTCCAGCTTCGGCAGTTCTTACTATCTCTTCCTCCACTAGCATGTGCTTTTTAGATACATATTAAATAGTGCTGCTACCCCTTTTGAGAAACTTACTCTCAAAACATTGCTTCCATGAAACTGCATGAATGAACATGTAAGAACTATCAAAACGGGCAATAGTAAATGAAATCTCATGACCCAGCTGCGGGAGATCAGTTTAATATCCTCTATGCTTTTATTTAGTACACGTATAATTTCTCACTTATTAAGATTATATAGGTCTAGTTTTTTTACTAACATTGCTAACTTTAAAGACAAAAGGGCCAATGCCTCTTAATTATGCAAGCTCAGACTGGACAGACATTCAAATTCTATCAAGAGTAACAGCCAGCATTTACCAAGTGCTTAAACCATCTCCTACTTCCCAGTGACACATGTCACACAAACTTTTGTATACAATAGATACAACTATGAATACCATAGTGCTAAAATTTTAATGTATGTAAGAACTGTGTAGAAAGAGGCTACTGTAAAACCGTACATTGGATTCCATCGCCGCCTCAAACTGTGTTACTGTGGATGTTCAATAAAGAGGCTATTTTCGCCACTCACTGATCTCAATTGTTATTGAAATATGATCGCAAAAGCCCAACAAGTCCACATCGACTGTCCAAACAGCCTCCCACCCACAGTCACCCCCTAGCCTATCCCTGTAACACTGCACTTCCCATGGCCAATCCACCTAACCTACAATTCCCTGGACTCCTTGGGCAATTTAGAATAGCCAACCCACCTAATCTGCACATCTTTGGACCACACCCGGAGGAAAACCACGCAGACACACGGATAATGTGCAAACTCCACACAGACAGTTGCCCAAGGCTAGAACT